TTTTTTTTTTCTTTTTTCTTTCGCATTTCTCATCAAACAAATAGGGGATTTTTTCATTACTTCAACTAGTACCGATTGATGGGAGAGAGACATATGTGGATTAGTACAATTAATTATTTATTGGCATATTCAGGATTCCAAGAGAGACTGGGTCTGGTTTTTCAACCCGATCCATGTATGTAATGGAATAGAGTACCTTATTTCTTTTTATCGGGAGCACATACACAAATGGAATTCCTTTCTTGTACGATACAAAATGAATTTCACTCAATTACATTACCCTTAGAGAATACTTTTCCAGATTAAACTTTTTCCTTTTCTGGCGGAGATTTTGTGTAACCTCAATTACTCCAATTTTGAATTTGAAAAAAGAAAGATATATCTCATTCAAATTTCACACTGAGCTTTTGATATATGCGTCCCAGTACTAATCCAAGGAAGGAGGATATTCAAAAAAATCAAACAAGGATTCCCACCATTTCACTCAAGGCAAGGGAATGAAAAATTTTCTATTTTTCTAGTTAGAATGGATTGGTCGTACCTATCCAATCAATAATTGTTTATGACTGACTCGCTATTCACTCGGTTTTTGGGTCATAATCATTATGTAGGAGAGATGGCCGAGTGGTTTAAGGCGTAGCATTGGAATTGCTATGTAGGCTTTTGTTTACCGAGGGTTCGAATCCCTCTCTTTCCGCACTTTCACCTAATTCACTAATGTGAATGACCGAAATGTATCAAATAGCAATGGAAAAAATGATTCCAACAGTTAGACCTTTCTTTGATATATATTCTCTATTCCTAATTGCTGTTTTTCGGAAAATACTGGAAAGAGTGGACAAGGAATTAAAATATCCCTGCCGATGTATTTTGACATCCCACAGCTTCGGCAGGATCGCTTAGCCCCGTTCATCTTCGGCGCAAGAGCGCTCGATCAGTGAGCTATTACGCACTCTTTCAAGGGTGGCTGCTTCTAGGCAAACCTCCTGGCTGTCTCTGCACCCCTACCTCCTTTATCACTGAGCGGTCATTTAGGGGCCTTAGCTGGTGATCCGGGCTCTTTCCCTCTCGACGATGAAGCTTATCCCCCATCGTCTCACTAGCCGACCTTGCCCCCCTCTTATTTTGAGGTCATATCTAGTATTTAGAGTTTTGCGCTCTCTCAAAACGCCTATGAGTCGCCGGCTCATTCTTCAACAGGCACGCGGTCAGAGCCTAAGCTAGTGATGCTTTCGGCTACTGGACTTTCGCCATCTAGGGTGCAGCATTCGGGCTGCTTCGCCTAGCTGCACGACGCTTGTATTGCTCTCCCACAACCCCGTTTTCACGGTTTAGGCAGCTCCCATTTCGCCCGCCGCTACTACGGGAATCGCTTTTGCTTTCTTTTCCTCTGGCTAAATAGAGATTATAGAACGTGTGAAGCAGGGAGTTCCAGCACTTTGAAATGTAGTGATTAAAAAATCCAAATCCAACTTTTACTAGAAATTCCTAACTGTTACAAAAAATTTCGAGTGTATTTTACGTATATTTGCTGCCTCATATTTGTAATGTGGGATGGTTTGTTCTTGCATTACAGTTATCAATATGCAAGTTATATTGATAAAATGGAAGAAAGACTTAGTATCAGTGAAATTACACCGCTTACTACAGAATGGACTTGCAAAGTCAAGGCTGTAGACAAATTTCGGTCGCGAGACAACAGAGATCAGCGAGTTCGTTTTCAGATAATAATTGTCCAGGATATAAACGTAAGTCAAGTTACAACTATAATTGTAACATAACATCTTCTCACTTGTACTCTTCCAATAATTACTGTGTTATCGTTCTTAATAACATTGTAGGAGGAACAAATTTGTGTGATACTCTATGGTGACGACATTAGATGATGTGATAACTTGTTCGAACTTTTTGAGACGTATCTGATTTCAACTGCCAAGGTTAGAAATCCGCAACCTTATTCATTGCATATCGGCCAGTTTGAATTGATCGTCGACAGATTCACTATTGTGGAGTCTATCCCAAAAAATAATGAAAAGGAGGCACCGTTACCTCCTCCGTCGAGACTGAGTACGATTTCTTTCGTCGACGTTGAACAACAGCCTTCCGGTGATGAATTTGGTATGTTTCAAATTACCCTATGCCTTATAACAGCTTAATTGCTTGGAACTCATGGTGAATGCAAATATATTGATTTTACCTACATTTGTTTTTTGTTTATAACATCAGATCTATTAGCTGTGGTAGCAAACTGTGGGGCAATGCAAAACACCGCTGATCAGACTAAGAGATTTCAAGAGGCCATAGTTATGGACAAAACATGAGTCATATAATCTTCTATTACATAACAATATTTCTAGCTGACACTTATAAAAGTACATGTATAGGAAGAAACCTCTTTTCTTCACTATATGGAAAGACTTGGCAAGCAATGAAGGAACCGAGTTACTGAGACAAGTGAGGCAACTGCAAGAATATCCTGTTATTCTCGCGAAGCGGATAGCTACCACAAAATACCATGGTGGTAAGTTCATGAAGTTCCTGTTTCTACATATGGATAATGGTTCTGCGTTGCTTATTAACAAAATTTGCATACACAGTTTCCCGTTTGGAAACAAGATACAACTCGACAATCTTAATCAATCCCCTATATGTGCAAGCAACTGAATTATGGAATTGGTACCATACAAACTGTGCTTAAAATGTACCATATCATTATTTAACTATTATTACTAATGTGAAAAAATAATTGCCTGACATTTCTCGTGCGAATTACAGGGTAAATGAGAACAAACAAATGCTAATCGAATACACAGTGAAGAGTTCAGCAGAGTCAGCTTCATCACTTAATCTTGTAGCTGTTGACAATGAAATATTATCTGTTTCAGCTATTGCTATGCAAACCTCCACTGTGAGTTCATTAAATTCCAAAATAAAATGCCGAAAACTGCCACATCATGTATCTTTTATACAATATGGATAACTGTTCAATATGTTCTAATATGCTACTGTTCGTGTCAGCCCAGTAGCAGTATGGTCTAAATAATATTAGAGTATAAATTTTTGGAATAAACTCTTATGTTAAAGTTCAACTGTAAAAAATCTTCATTGAAATAATATATCGTTCGTTTTACAATTAAATTTATTCTGAAATGCTTTTTAAAAGTTTGATCACTATATTACATCCTATTTGTATCCTACGTCATCTTAATATTTGGAAAAGAGGCTGTTGATTCAAACAAAAATATTCTAATATCAAACAAAATAGTTTTCAATTTAGTCTTACATAAAATTAGTTATCTAATTTTTACATTTTACCGTTAGAACACACTTCTCATGAGGTTTTACTAACTATGCAACTTTGTATTATTTCGTTGCTGAAAATTATATGCAATTAACAATTGATGATTTAGCAAGTTCCATTGCTTATGTTAGGAACATAAACCTAACGACTTGTTTCATTATTTACATTTTGCAGGCGGAAACATTTTACATCGAAGGAGAAATTTCGCTACCTGAGCATTTCCAACGATTTTATCTGCTAGGTTGTTCGGAATGTAACCATCTTGTTCGGAGCAAAATAAAAAGGGACGTTCAATGCATAAACTGCAGGCTGCCACGAATGTTAATTCTAAGGTAACAACTGCTACTAATAAGATGATGCCATTGATAATATTTGATATTTTGTGCCATCCATTCTACCTCAACTAAAATAATTTACAACATACCACATCATAGGTGCCACTTTGAGGTAGAAATTACAGATAAAACTGGCACAACGACAACAGTGTTTGAAGGCTTGGCCGAAAGAACATTGTCAATGAGAGCTGAACAGATATATGATATCATCAGTGTTAAGGTATATACACATACAACACTGCAGTTAACATAAGCCAACAAAGTTAATATAATATTCTGATGGTTAACACATAAACGTAAGCTTTGACAAGTCCATTGTTTTTACAATCTGTTTGCAGAATGAGTTATTCCCTGTTGCTCATATCAATCGACTACTTGCAGATAAACTGTTCAGAGTTCAGCTACAAAGGTCATCATCCAGAACACCAGACAAAAATGCAGGTTCTCTGGTCCTTTTATCATACACTGAAAAACCAACCATGTTTCTAACAGAAGAGTCAACATCTGTGGGTGGTGCCGAGAGAATTATGGAAGAAGAGTCAATACTTGTGACTGATGCGAAAGGAACTAAGAAACGAAAAAGGGAACCAAGTACTCTACCGAAGCCAAAGTCAAGGTTAGAAATTCAAATACCATATTTTACCATGTACTAATTTTCTTAAAATGAATATTTTATTTGTACAGATTGTCGAGGCAGTGATGTTCGCTCAGATGGTATGCGATGTATAGACACATTTTGACAGATCGTACCGATCTTTTAACAAGGTTTAGATAGTTGGCCGCCTTAACAAAGTTTTCCACATTTTTTGCGTAAATAGTTGTCAGTAGTGTGTGCCTATGCTTGTGAAGGCAATTGGTATTATTTTTTGGATATTGGAGCGGCCTCCAGATGTTGTGCAATGACATCTTATAATTAGGATCCATATACATTTCCGAAAGTTTACTACGTTTATCACATGGTGTTTTCTTTTATACTTCTTATGTCTACTCTTACTATTTAACAAAAGAATTACACATGTATCATCTACATAATTTTAATTTTAGTTCAGTTATAAAAATCCTTGGCAACGCTTAAACACAATTCACTACCACTAAAATGTTGATAAATAAGATTTTTTTCTTAGTTGAAGCATTTATTACTGAGCATCAGTAAATACGTTAAAGTTTATGATATATAAACTACGTCATTGTGCGACTGGCTATACATGGGCAACGGCTAGCTAGACTATATTAGAAGTGCAAATTAACAGGTGAGGCAAGCGATCACTTTTCCTTCGGATTTAGTTACCTTGATTTTTTATTTGTATAATATTTGTGTGTTTGTCAAAGCTACATTTTCACACAGAAGTTAAAGGCCAAAGAGCTTCAACGCATCTTATGATACCTTATGATGGAGCAAAGGTAATGCCCAATAGATTGCCTTTATCTCAGATTTGCTGAGAAAGTAAATTACTCTATTAAATTATCTTACGACCAAGATTTGTTAACTATAATTATAATCATATTTATCGGTCTGATATAAATATTTGCTGAATTTCTACGCTATTCAAATGAAGAACAGCGTTTAGGTGGACTCATTTGGTCATCTTGTTGCAATATTGGTAATGTCGTCTTCCGCCAGTTGCGCTTTCACTCTGTCAAGGTAAGTATATGATTTTAAAATTTTTTCCCGCTGCTACGTTCTGTCTACTACTAAAATAAAAACAGACCTAAATTGTTTTGTGCACTAAAAAAGAAGTGAATTCAAAGGTAATGTTGCTTCCCTTAAAAAACCAATACAAATAAAAAGCATTTTTCCTAGGTTGAGATCATTGATACGAAAAAGTTTTTGTTGCTATCCCGCTGCTATCATATGCTAAATTTTCCCATCTCTGTTGCATTTCTTATTTTTCTTCTGAGGTATCTCAGTATATTTTAATGCTCTGATTAGTCTTACTAATAGAATATTAGAAAGTATCTCAAACAGTTGCTGAAAGTATTGCTATTCATATTATATGTATTAGTTTCCTCGAGTTCCTTACCTTAATAAATTACACGTGCATCTGATAAAAAGCTTATGACTTTTACAACCTTTCATATATATATATATATATATATATACATATACATATCAGTTAAATTTCTTTACATGAATACTACTGTGACTTAAATGTTTATTAGAATCTCAGCAAGTCATACACCTCTTAAGGGAAAGGCCTACAACCAAATGATAGAATGGCTAGGAATTACTAATCTATTTCTTTCTTACGTTACCTTTAAGACCTAGATCAATGTGGCAATGTTTTGTCTCTTCTATTCATACACTACTCTTCTTTATCTTATGCATCACCTTTTACACCATGTATTATTAGCTTCTTCTTACTTTTTCTTCTGCAAACAATGAAGTTGTTCAACATTACTCTAGATAGCTAGCTAATGAAATTTCTAATTTCTTAACTATGTAATCTCAAGACAGATATACAAACAGAATTGTCATTCTTGCAGTTGCTTTGCTCTTATTCATTACTACAAACTTATTGCACTCCATGTCATCATGCAGATTTACATTGACCACTCTTTGACTACTGCACAAATAAAGACCACTGATAGCATCAGCAAAATCATCTGTTAATCTTTTGTGACAAATAAAAATAAGTTTAGACTACAAATTGTTGGGCCCATGCATCTAGATATATGAATATGCTAAAACGTTACTTTATCGTCTTCTCTAAAGGGGCACAACTTGACACTTAGGTATGGTACTTTGAAGTAGTTTATTTGCGAGAATCCTTGGTTTGTGTCCCTCCCTCTCCCTCCCTCTAATGTTACTTTCCAAATTCTTGCTATGGAACTTTATCAGTTAATGTTTTCTTTTTCAAAAATATTTAATTTCTTTCTTTTTTGTAATAGGACTGAAGCTTCTTTGAAGAATTCAAAGGGATGTTTCCAGCAATGAACAATCTTACATTACTCTATATGGCTCTTAATTGGACTTCTTTTATTCATGGTGTAAACGATATTAACATGATGGGTAGGAAATGCCCGCAAATAAGCGATATGCTTGGGTTTGATATTGCAAGTGTATTATCAAGAAAAGTAGAAGAGAATGGAATATTTACTCAGTTATATATATAAGAAAAAATAGGGAGCCAATATATAGTCTTCTATTGTCATTATTTACTGAGGATGGAACCTTGCGTTTGTGTTTGTGAAATTGTAGTTATTATAAAACTATTTGTTGCTATGTAGTATCTCAATCCTATATAATATGCGACATTACACACAACCAAACTGTATCAACATTCTAAGTTGTTGGGCCCGTGCTCAGCACGGGCAACACTCCTCTAGTATTATTCCTATGTGATAGTTTAGTGTTCTTTTTATATTATTGCACGGGTCATAGAATATTTAATTGGATTCTCCATGTATTTCTGCTTCTCTAGATTTACCTGAGAAAAAAAATGCACATAGATATTTACATAGAATTCTTTCTGGGTAATCATATTCACATAAATAATTTTTGGCTTTTATTTGAATAAGGCAAAATACATAATCTACCCATCAAACTTAGGACCAAATCCCACTTACACACCTGTTGAACACGGGTTTTATTTTACACACCAAACCTTTTAAAAGTGTGTCAATTACACACTACTTTTGACCAGCCCCTTTAATATTTAATGCGTTGTATACACGCGCTTTTATAAGTTAAAAAAAAAAATAACGATTCTTTATAATTAAAATAGATTATCCGACCCTTTTCTTAATTCCGACCCATGAAAGATCCAACCCGGTAAGTTAAAAACACCTACACGACCAAATTAACAAACATAAACCCATTTTCCAAGTCCTGTTCTTCATCCCTAAAACTATGAAGATAATCTGACGAGAAGACATCTGGTTGTTGCTGTTTCTTCTTCAGTTTTTCAGGTTAGCATTCACATTTTAAGGTTGTTCAACCCTTTTGACTTGGATGGGTGGGTCGAAATAGTTAGGGTTTATTTGGGTATTTCATCAGGAGTAATTTTAGGGTTTAACAACCCTAACGCCCATTATCATTCTTCTGTCAATTCTCATATTAGTTGTGGAAGGTGAAGAAGAAGATTGTTTGGTTCCTTTAAAGAAGAAGAAGATGAAATAAGAGGGAGATGAAGAATTGGGGCAGAAAATGGGTTAAAGAAAATTGGCCCAAATTTTAGTAAATAGCCGTTGTAATTAGTCAGTGAAGGCAGAAAGTAACTATTCACGCGCCCCACTGGTCGTGTTTCACACGCCCCAGAGGCTGGTCAAAAGTAGTGTGTAATTGACACACTTTTGAAAGGTTTGGTGTGTAAAATAAAACCCGTGTTCAACAGGTGTGTAAGAGGGATTTGGTCCTAAGTTTGATGGATAGATTATGTATTTTGCCTTTGAATAACATCCAAATTTCCAGCTTACGGGTTTTGATCCACATGATGCTTGTTTTCTCTGTCAAAGTAATGTGCCTCACATCTCTTGTCGAGTTCAACAACTTCATGTCAATTTCTCTCGTCTAATGGGAGATGGGGTACGGTGGATGGGTTTGGTCGTTACCGAGTGTTTAGGCCATCTTGACCCAGTACATTTTGGTCATAGTAGACCTGGGGCGAGTTGGCTACTACATCGTTTATCAGTTCAGCTTATTTTAACTTGTCCAAATTTGAGACAACTTGCTCATTGACAGCTGAATAGTTTTACTATGTCAGACTGAAATTCAGAAGTGTTTTTAAGTTTGTGCCTTTTAATCTTTAATTGTTGATATAGTTCTAGAATATTTTTTGGAGTGGATATAAATGTAAACCTTATAAAAGAAATATTAGCATGTTTGAGTTATTCGCTTTGAAATGTGCATGCTATAGGTCTAAGATCAAGTTAGGTTTGCGTTGTTGTACATATGTTGCATGTCTTCGGAATATAGAGAGCATGTTAACGATATGTATGTGTTCATCTACAAGGCGTACAACGTACTTCACGTGCAAGTACCATCAATCTGAAATCGGGTTACTGGTAGCCAGTCATACTTTAGTGTCAGCTTCATCTCTATTATTTGGTGAATCTACTCACAAATATTATTTTCTTCTTTTTCTGTGCATACCAGAGTGCCGGTTGTAGTGCAATGCCTGATTTTCCCAAAGTCATCGTTTATTTTGAATTTGGAAGGAAAGATCCAAATGCAAGAAAAGATCCAAATGCAAGAAACATTTGGGAGTGCATGGTGCCATTTGAGGGATCTGATGAAAAATGTGAAGCTAGTATATTGTCTTAATCTTATACCACATTTGCTGAGGCCAAATGGTGTATGACAACTCCTCGTACCTCACCAAACTTAATGGTCTTAAAAAAGATCAAGATGGAAAATGGCTGGTCTTTATCGAAAGAGTATCGGTGTTATACACCTGGATGGTTAATGTTCACAAAGATATGTGGAAATTTCGTTGTCGCAAATGTTTTGGAGTTGGAATTGAATTTAAAAGAGAGTTTCAATGTGTTGTATTATTTTTCCTTAATAGTCGTTCATTGTTTCGTTTAAATTCTACAGGCAAATTCTTTTGGGGTTGAAGGCAATCCATGATACAGTAATGAATGCTGATCTAATTTCTTGTCCGGCATTTCAAGAAATTAACAGAGGTGATATGATAGTGTTCGTTGTTGTGTTGATTAGAGTACCAGTGACACATTGAGGAACTGTCATGACCCAAAGTTCAACTAGTCGTGATGGCACCTAACCCAACCCGTTAGGTAAGCCAATTAACAACAATTCAATTTAATGTGATTTACTGAGAAAATAAATGATAATATATCCTCCATTAATATAGCCAAGGACTTTAATAGTGGAGTCATTTTATAATATATAATATTAATATACACATTGGTAAGAAAATTCAAGTTCATAAGATGTTAGCCACATATTTATAATGTTACCTTGGATCTTAATTTTAAAAATATTATTTATCAATA